CTCAGGCGGGGCCTCCCTGGAGGGGTGGGAGGGGCACGACACCTGATAAATAACATGGTGTGCGAATACCCTGCTCGCTCAGGCGGGGCCTCCCTGGAGGGGTGGGAGGGGCACGAAACCTGATAAATAACATGGTGTGCGAATACCCTGCTTGCTCAGGCGGGGCCTCCCTGGAGGGGTGGGAGGGGCACGAAACCTGATAAAGAACATGGTGTGAGGAAAGGCATGGTATGGTATGGGATGGTGGATGCATGGTATGGTATGGTAAGGTATTGGTAAGGTATGGTATGGAGTGGCATGGTATTGGTATGGTATGATACAGTATGGGATGCTGGAGGAAGCGGGAGGAGGAGGAGGAGGAGGAGAGGATGTTCTGGGAAAACAAAAACCCACTCAGGATGTGGGGAAACAGAAGCGCCGGCTGCCAGCGCGATCTGGCGTGCGCGCCTTGGTGCCTCAGTGAAGCGTGACTCCGCCCGCCTTGGAACATCCCCCGCGGCGGCCAGCGCGACAGCTACGGAGCAGCTGCCATTTTTTCTCGCGGCGCACTCAGGAGAGAGAAACACGTGTTGCCGACAGTTGGCCTGTGTGCGGCCTAGTTCGTAGATGGTTCCCTGGTTGTGTCGTGGCGCGGGCGTGGTAGCCTTTGCCGTCCGACGGAGGACAGGGATTAGGATTGCTTTCGCTGTGGAATCATTGGTCCCAGGGCGGCTACTTCGAAGGGTTTGTCCTGGCGGCGCAGTTGCTGCAGGAGCCGGCTGCCCACTTCTAGCGCGTGCATGGAGATGCCGTCTGCGTAAGATGTTCCGTTTTCCGCACTGCTGGGGGTCAAGGCGACGGGGGCATCCCAGTTTGGTGCATCCGGGCTGATGTGTGGGGCGGTGCCGTTGCCCTGGTGGGCGTCGGCTGGGGCCGTAGACCCGAAGGAATCACGGCTCAAGTCCGTCTTGTGCGTCAGGGGATAGCGCAGCATTGCACAGCTGATCTAGCTTTCCCGCACATGTCCAAAAGTTCGCCCCTGAGCTTACGCTGGTCGGAGCGATGTTGTTGGTGACTTGGGTCAATGTCAGTTTGGTGATTGCGAGCGAGTTCGTTGTACGCAGCGACGGGTCAATCGACGCACCGCAGCTCTGGAGTGCGGCGGCGCAGGTTTCCTTACGGCGCGGGCCTGTCGGGGCCCTGGCGCTTGCGCGCGAAACTGAACGGCGTGTCCAGTCTCGCGATGCGTTCAACAGAAGAGCTGGGCGCTTCGAGCGTGGCTACATCTGCGCCCGCAGGCACTCGAGCCAAAACTGGATGACGCGGAGGGAGAGGGGGAGGGAGGAGGGAAGGGCGACAGGGGGGGGGGAGCGGGAGGGGAAAGGAGAGATAAGGGAGATTGCGCCTCCAATCTGGAGCCCCCCACCCAATGGAGAACGATTGCCAAAGCTTCACAGGAGCGGGCGGGAGCGCGCCGTGGGCCACCTTATGTGACCAATAGTAGGTCCTCATCGCTCCTCACCCATGCTCCTCCTCCTCCTCCTCCTCTTCCGCTTCCTCCTCCTCGTTCCTCGCTCCTCGCCCCTCGGTCCTCGCCCCTCGCTCCTCGCCCCTCGCCCCTCGCCCCTCGCCCCTCCTCCTCATCCTCCTCCTCCTCCTCCTCTTCCTCCTCCTCCTCCTCCTCCTCAAGCTGCCGCTTTGGGTCAACCTCCCGGGTCAACCCCCGCGGCCGCTTGGCAG